TTTTTTAAATAGAATTGTTTCCGTTTTTGGTGTCATGAAAGTATGGAAAAAGAGAAGTAGAGAAGGACTTTGATTTTTTGACGTGTCCCTTTAATTTGGGGGTTAGGAGTATATCATGCTTCCAAAAAATTAAATTTTGATGTGAATAGAGGGAATGAATATTGTTATTGTTGTTATTATTATGGGGTGTTGGGTGGATTCACGCGAGGACCAATGAAAAAGTAACGAGGCTCTAATGAGTTGGTGGATGGGAACAGAGAATCGATGTTGATAGTTAATTAATATAATTGGAGAAAGCCCAGTTTAGTGGACGCGGTGTAATAAATTTCGAAATACCACCACGAGGCGATGAGTATTTTGGTGCATTTATGCTACCGACAAAGCGAAACGATAGTGTTTCCTTAATTTGCAATACTATTTATAATGTATAATTAACACATTGTTGACGAGTTAACTCGTCCTTTCCTGCCCAAACGTTGTTAACCGATGGCGAGTTAACTCGTCATTGCATTATCTATTTCAATTTATGAAATCCAGGGCGATGTAGAATATGGCGTATAAAAGTGATTTTGAAAATCGGATTACAAAATAATAGCCGGTGACATGACAGTTTCTGTGTAAAATTACCGGTCAACAAAGTGTTAATAAATATTCCTGCATTCCACGTGCTAGTAAATACTAGTAAATAATATAAATAATAATTAATAATCATATATACTAATAATAATATAAATAATAATTAACCAAACACTGTCGTTACCTTCATCCATTATTAACCTTATCCTCTTAACTGGGAATGACATCTTAACCCTTTGCACTCGACGCTTTTTCCATTCCAGAAAAATAGTAGTTCGAAGATTTCTGCCATAAAGTCGACGATATTTTGAAATCGGTAAATAAGAAATCGTATGCAAATTAAGACGTAGAATTATTTTACTTCGATATTCCACGCATCGTTGCATAATTGTAAATTTGATATATTAATTAACATCCATCTTTAGAATCTGTTTAAATGGTGACTGAGAGGCGCCTCTCGAGTGCTAAGGGTTATTTCGTCATGGGACCCAAAAGACCCAAAAAATGACACACTACATCAATATCACTGCATGCCATATTTGAGACTGCACCATACAGTTTCCAAAATTAATTTTTAATTATATTCTTTTAAATACCAATAACATGTACTTTGAAATCCCTGTTGTTGTTTAATAATAGTACAAATTGCAAACTCCAAATCGTTTCTTTTTTTATCTTTTTTCTTTCCAAATGGACCTTTACCCTGCACAATGGTCGAATCGTGAATCTATTATCAGCTTCGAGTTATTCCATCGAAACTTCCACGCGGAACGAAGCCTCTCGATGCGACCGTAATTCCATCCGCAATAATTAATCCCTGTAATTCTGTCAAATGGCGACCAAATAAATTGGAAAAAATTTCGAAATAATTGGAAAAGAGAAGAAAATTGGAAGAAGCATTTCCCAAACGCATGATTCGTGGTGGAAGCACAGGCTGAACGTCTCCATCGATCTCTGCTAGCTCTAGCACGAACGCAACAACCCGCAAGTGTCCGGACGTCGAGGGCGTAATTCGATGGCGACGTTAAAGGGGGCGTCTCTCAGGGGTGCGATAACTTTCGGCGTCGACTGTATCGCTGGATGATACCCCCTCGGGGTTTTCTCCCCTCGGGTGTTGGGGTGTGTTTCGTTGCCTGGCAACGACACCCTCAAAGTCCCCGCTCTGATTGGCCCCGTCCCGCTTCTTCCTGTCTTAGCCTCTCTCTTCTCACCCCCTTCGACAATCAGCCAGCCGCGACCGTGCCTCCTATCGACGATCAAAACCACCCTTCTCGTCGCTGTAGTCCCTGACTACCCTCGCCGCGTGGCTCCTCAGCGACGAAAATGGAAAGTCGGACACCTTTCTCGTCCTCCATCCAAACGAATTCGATTAACTTCCATGGGTGTCCTTGATTTTTAACGCTGCAACTTTAAACACTGAAGTTTCTAACATTTACGTGTAACTTATAGAGCTGGAATTACCAAGGAAGTCTATATGAATTGTTTTAGGGATAAAATACGCAGCTGCTTTCGATAAACTTAATATTGACTTTAATAAAATTAAATGTTTTCCCAATTTTATTGTGAACGACGTGTTATAGATATACTGAAGCTGAATAATATTAATTATTTGTTTGTAATTAACCTTCCACGAGGAAGCGTTTTAAGGCAGCCTTAAGACAATTTTTCGTTTAACTCACTAGCGCCACCACGGTCCGTATCTCCAGTAAATGTAATTATCGATAGAATCTTGGAATTTTCTTCTTACTACTTCTCTCATTCACGATACTATTCATCCAAATTTTCCGATTGTTCTCGGGAAAGTGTTTAATCGTGGATTATTCGATTTTCTGTTTTCTCTTCTTTCTTTTTTCCGTTTTTTCCTCTTTAAGATCGCTAATTTACATGACAAATCTCTCATCTGTATTCAAATAAATTCCCTTAATTTTCCATTCCATTTCATTCCGAATTCCCAGGATAAAAATAAAATGGAAAATTAGAAGTGCAGAGGGTTAAGTACGAATTTTCAATAGCAATTGAATCGATATTTGTTTTCTTTTCTCTCCTTTATTCTTTTCTTTTCCCTTTTTAAAATTTCTCATTTATCTAGGAATTCTCCTATCTGTCTCAAACAAATTCTCCTAATTTCCCATTCCCTTTCGTTCCGAATTGCCGAGGTAAAAAGAAAATGGCGAATTAGAAGTACGAGGGAATAAGTAGGAATTTTCAGTAGCAACTGATAAATTACTTTCTATCGTAGAGCTTCAATCGTTTCGACTCTCTCCAAGGACCTACTCTAAGAATCCCCTTCGAGTTCCACATTTCGTTTGTTCTACGGAATCGCTTGAAAGTTTCTGCTACATCCCCAGTGGAACTCGAACGTTAACTCGACGGAGCGATCCATCCAGCCACAAGCGACACTCTAACGATTCAACCTTATCAAACAACCATATCGAGCTACTGCCTACTCGTCCTTTTTCATGAAAAAAGGCTCGCGAAGAAGCACTAATAGAACGAGGAATATTCACCGTTACCGTCTCATCCCGTAGGAATAAGTTGAACTCTCGAGGACCGATCGTCGAAATCCGCTTACGAAATAAACATCCACCCGTTGCCTTTCATCGTCATTTACGATCATTTCTATTTTTCTGACTCGGTAAATCGAGCCACGAAAGGATTAAACCACCGCGCCACCCCTTCATGCTCCTTCGCCGACCCATCTGTGTTCCTTCGAGTAGCCGGCCGCTTTTGTCGACATCCGGCGAGAGGGTGGATAAAACCACCCCTATTGATCCCGCTCAATGGATTCCCTGCCCTTTCACCTGCCACCGATCCCGCTGTTTTGACATTCCTCTCGCTCGTCCTCGCTCGTTTCACGGCATTAATAGAGCGGGACGAGAGAGACCGGGATGGAAATAGATGGAGCAACGAGCCTGGTGTTCCCTTTCTCTGTCCGTGCCGCGGAGGAGATCCTTTCAGCGGCGAAGAACTTCCTAAATAAGCGTAATCCTTTTCAGTTAGTCGAGGCAGCCCCTTAGAAATCGCTCGCGTCGAGGATGCGCCCCGGGATCATGCGAATTCGATGAAAGATTCCTGTCCCTTTTCCTACGTTTCTCCTTACCCTCATTTTTTCCCCGTCTTTTTTTTATTTTTTTTCTCTCCTTCTCTCTCTCTATTTCTCCGGTTTTTGTTCTCCGTGTACCTGGAAATGAATCGCCGGATTTTTGCTCGCCCCCTCCCCAGCCGCTTGTTCGCGTCCTGTATAGAAGATAGAAGGATTCGCGGCAGGGTGGGAAGGGGTTGTAGATGGAGAAATGGACTTGTTGGAAGCTCGCGAGGATTAGAGTGGGGTGTTTCTACGACTGGAATGACGTTTTCGGGGTAGATGGTGGCGAGTTAATGGAGGATGAGTTCCAGGAGAAAGATACTTGGGGGAAAGTGAGGGTCTTCTACGTTTAGCTTCGTGACATATTGGACAACCTAAGTCATTTACCTGTCATAACTTTGAATCCATACTCATCGCTCGATTTAACAACGTTAACCAATTGTGCTGGAAAGACGTGCCACGCACGTCGTAATGCTTTTGTCGCAGGGCTATAACAACTCAATAGGATTTTCCTCTCTTATTTATGTCAAGAAATTAGCTCACCACGATATTAGTCGAAAATGTCAATATAATTGAATTTTCCAGTCAAATTCTCTTGTTAGTTGGATTTTATTCTAGAGATTTAATAATCGAACATTTTTTAATTTCTGAAATAAATTTATTAAGAAATTTTTATTTATTAATTAGAACAGTTTTAACTATTTCTTATTCATTTCGAGTTATAATAATTTTATTAAGTGGTATACACGTCGTCAGGCAATTGTCACAGAAACACTGGACCGTTCTGGCACACGTGTCTGTGAATTTCTTGCCAGAGCAAGTGGTTAAAAAGAAGCAGAGAAATCTCTGATATTCTTTTTGTTTATAATGTGCTCGATGGTCTTATAAATTGTTCTGACATATTAAAAAAATTCCCTATCAATGTTCCAACTTTTCATTTAAAACGATACAACTTTCTTCATGTACAACATAAATGCATACCACTTTTGCATACCACTCAGGTATTAATAAAATGATTATTAACGTTAACAACATTTATCCTATCCTAGATCTATTCAACCAATCTCTTCACTCTATAAAATAGTTAATAGTAAAAATTTATTTTCCTCATACTTATACACATCTCTTCTGTTTGTATATTTGTATATTTATTTTTATTTGTTACCATTAATTTTATATCTCAATGTAATAATTTTCTTCTAATTTTTCTAATGGGTTAATCCCGTATAAATAAATAAATAAATAAATTATTGGCTTTCCTGGATTATTTTCAATGTGTAATTTCTTGGATTATTGGGAAAGAGGTTTAGATAATTATGTTAATCGAAATTCGTTTCAGATGGACCGACAACGCGGACTGAAGAGAGTGGGGACCATCCTGGTTGCTCGGGCATGAAATGCGCGGACAAGCTGGATGATTGTTCGGAGTATGGCAAGTTTGAGGACAAGATGGAGGAGAAAAAATCGTGAGATTTTGCTATTTGATTCCTTAAAATTCTTTCAATAAAATTCCAAATTGTTTAACCCTTTGCGGACGGAACGGTTTTGAGTAAAGGGGGGCCGTGGGGCCCGGCCGCTGCATCGGTAGTCGTTAAAAATTAAAAGCGCTCGTTTCTACTTAAACGCGATTTTTGTTTATAATAACACTGGCAATAAGAACATAAAACAGTCCTTCGTACCATTTAACTTGGGACGGTCCTAGGGCCTCAACAGCCGCCTCATATACGTGTTTCTCGGCCATAGCAACGCGTTTACGTGGGACACATTTGTGAGTCCTTCGACCCTATCAGTTGTTTTCGCCGAAAGCAAAAGGTTAAAGGGAAATTAATCCTTTGCACTCGGCTATCTTTTCGTTACTGAAACATAGTAATTCGAAGGCTTTCTGCCATAAAGTCGATAATATTTTTAATTTTAATTGTAAGACGTAGAATTATTTTACCTCGATATTCCAAATTGTCGATGAACAATTTTAAATTCGAGATATTAATTAACTAAATAATTAATTTGGAATCTGATTAAATAGCGACTGAGAGTCGCCTCTCGAGTGCAGAGGGTTAAAATATTCGTCTAAGGAGATCCAGCTCTTCTAGATTTTGTTCCACTGATCGATTTTGTTAATTTCGATACGTGTTTCAGGGATAAAGTGAAGATCTCGAAGATATATTACGGCACACGAACGCACAAGCAAATCGAGCAGGTTGTGAGGGAGTTGCAGAAGACTTGCTATAAGAACAAAAAGTAAGGAGCTTCTTAGATCAAAGATTCGTAAGTTTGTATAGAACACGTATTCATTTTGATCATTTTTCAGGATGACCATTTTGAGCAGCAGAGAGCACACTTGCATCCAGGATTCCAATAAGAATAAGACCGAGCTTTGCAACGAGCTGCTGGACCCTACCAAGGTTTGCTTCCACTCGGATTCCAAAGCTAATCAGTTTGTAATAGTTCGTGGAATCTTTCTCGAGGCTAGCTCCAACGCTTCGTCCATGAAATTCGTGCCAAGAAATTTTCTAATTTTCCTGAAAGTCTTTGTAAGAAAATTCCGTGAGAAATTTTCTCCGAAAGTCTGTAAGAATTTTCTTGATAATTTCCCGAAGAACATTCTTGGAATTTTTTCGCAAATTTTCTTTCGAACGAATTTCTTCTGTATTCCACGAAGTTAAGGATGAATCTTTCGAGGTAAAAATAAGAAAATATTCTTGTGCAGGCCAATGGCTGTCCATATAACAACGAGCTGAACAAAAGGAACTCCTCGTTTTATTTCACGGTAAACAAATTGGGCCCAGTATGGGATATCGAAGACCTGGTGGCCATTGGAAGGGAGAACAAATGGTGTCCATACTTTGGTGCCAGGAATCTAATGGAATTCGCGGACATCATATTCTGCCCTTATAATTACATCATCGATCCTGATATTCGTGCATGTGTGGGTCTATTTGCTAAGAATAAAATGTTTTATTGCTCCTTGGATTTCTTAATTGCAAAGAGTAACTCGATATTTTGTAATTTATTCAGATGCAACTCGATCTGAAGGACCAGGTGATCATTCTGGATGAAGCTCATAATATCGAGGACATTTGCAGAGACGTTGCGAGTGTTAGTTTTCGGGAGGATCACCTCTCAGGTGCTGCAAATGAGTGTGAAAGCATCACGAAACAGAGATTGGAGGATTTTGCGACTTATAGTACCCTTAAATCGTACATTTTCAAACTAGTGGAATTTCTAAAAAGCATACCGTTAAATAAAGTAGTGAGTTGTTTAATTAAAAAATTATTTGTTCAGATTAAAAGCTAGATAAATTAAAAGCTAGATCAACTAATTTCTAACTTAGGATATTTGTTATTTATACAATATACATAAAGTCCATTGCTCTAGTATTCAATTTAAATTTTGCAATCATTAACACTAGAATTACTGACCTGTATTGCGTACTAATATAGTATACATATATGTATTTAGAGTATTAATAATTATGAGATAATAATTGAATTAGTATCGTGAAGATAAGTAGGTATATATAATTACATTTTTATGTCAATAGAAAATAAAATTAATTCTATTAAAAGAAGCTATATGTATTCAGCAATTTCATGAACAAAAGGAAACCAATTATATTAACTGGTTTAGTAATTCTAGTGTTAAATTTTACTCTTTTAATTTTCTTAAATTCATTACGTTATTGTAAAATAATAAGTTATTGTGATAAATAATTTCTTGTAATTATATTTTATGTTTACCCAAAAATTACATGGTATATATTATTTGTAATAGGATTATAACAGTGACAATCTTTCGAGTCCGTACTGGACCGGTGTAGAACTGTTAGAATTATTTAACATGCATGAGCTTGGGGAATCCACGTATTCGACATTCCTGGTGGCTTGCAAAGCGGCACTAGCGGACGTAGAGAAAGAGAGAGAGGATAATAGAATGCTCGTGCAGAAAAATACGAAACCGATCATCTCAGCCGGCACCAAAATCATAATCGAGCATTTAATGTTCGCTATCCGAATGATCACCTCCAAGGGACATGTAAACGATTATAGAGCGTGTGTAACTGAAAGTACAGTGAAGGATTTCAAAATGGTGAGGGATCTGATCTAATCGGATTAGCTTTAATTACCCCCAAAAATTCCAGTCTCTGAAAAAAATTATACTTTCGAAGGAATACTGAATCCTCAACCTTTCTCCGGAATTTTAGGCTACTGACAACACGTGGTTATCTGCAAAGAAATTTGAACAACGTGTACGAACCTTAAAACTGTTGTGCATGAATCCTGGCGTGATCTTTTCACCACTTGCTCAGAATGCCCGCTGTATAATCCTTGCGTCTGGCACTTTGACCCCGACCGCATCATTTCAAAGTGAATTGGGCACGTCGTTCGTACACGTGCTGAACACAGGGCACGTGATACCCAAGGAGCAAGTTTACGCGACCTGTGTGCCAAAAGGTCCAAACGGAATTAATCTGAGGGCGAATTATCAAGCTGTAAACAGTTGGACCTTCCAGGTGAGCGTTTCTAAATGGTTATATGTCCTATTCTGATGTTTCTATTGATTTCTTCTTAGATTTAAAAGTCGAACGTCATTTCTGCTATTGATATTAAGGAACAATTTCAAGTACTCCAACATAGCGTCTCTTTGTTTAAGATATGTGTTACATGATTTTATATCTCCTAGGATGAACTAGGCCAGGTATTACTAGATGTCTGTGAGTCGGTACCCCATGGAATCCTTTGTTTCTTCTCCTCCTATAATGTCATGCACACGCAAATAGGGAGGTGGAAGAATAATTCCATCTGGAACAAGATCACCAATGTCAAACAAGTATTCACAGAACCCCGTTATAGCAATGATCTTACAGCTATCATGAATGAATATCGCGAAGTGATAGAGAATACTTCAGATGGACCAAGAGAAGGAATCACTGGAGCTCTATTTCTGGCAGTTTTCAGGGGAAAGGTTGCAGAAGGAATTGATTTTAAAGACAACGAAGCTCGTTGCGTAGTCACCGTGAGTTTTCACCATTAAAATCGTTCGAGTGTAACTAAAAAATCACAAAAAGATTTGTAATGTCGTTTCATAGGTTGGAATACCATATGGAGTAAGAAAAGATCCTGTAATTGATATGAAAATAAAATATAATGACACAAATAGCACGAAAGGTTTGTTAAGAGGTTCAGGCTGGTACTGTATTCAAGCTTTCAGAGCTTTGAATCAAGCATTAGGTCGTTGTTTGAGACACGTTCACGACTGGGGAGCCGTGTTGTTGGTGGATGAGAGGTTCGTGTAATTTAATAAAATGTAAATGGGAACTTTTTGTTACAAATATTTAGTACTATCGATTTATTACTGTTTTAGATTCTTAATGCAGGAAAACAAGCAATACCTTCCAAAATGGGTGAAAACAATGGTACATTTTTTATCATATTGATTTAGTATCGTTTTAGTATTTCTATTACGTAATTTATTTACAGTGGGTCACAGAAAATGAATACAATTTGAATGAAAATCTTCAGAAGTTTGTGGCAAGGCAGAAAGCAAGAGAAAAAAAAACTTTAACTTTGGAGATGTGTAGCACTTAAAAGGCTGTGTACATTTAGAATTCTAACGGTATTATATTTTAATTTTTATGGGTACATTATATATAACACAAGAAGTCTAATGATAAGAAACATGCTATAATAAGGTATAAGTCAATTGCATAGTAAAAAAATTTAAATCATGCATCATTAAATAATCTTATGCTTTATATATGTTACTAGTATTGTTTCTTTTTATTATAAAATAATATTTTTTAAGATTACAAATAAAATATTACAAGTAACTACAATATATTCAAGTTTTTTAAAGATTAAGCGTGTCCCTCTTTTCTATCATCCTGAGATGCTTCTTCTTAATCTTCTTTAATTTTGTAGTATTTGTAATCTACAAATAAACATTATATTAGTCATTTGTGAAAATTTAATTCGATATTATTCAATAATACTTACAACTTGTACAATTTCACTCTTTTTCTGATTCTCTATAGCACGTTTCAAATTAGCCCTCCTTCTCTCTTTTTTTGCCTCTTTCTGTGATCGTTTTTCGGCCTTTATTGCTCGTGAAATTTCCTTAACATGCTTCAGGTTTTCTCTTCGCTTCTGCTTTTTATCAAAGGACAATCGTATGCCGCGTGTTTTGACGATAGATGAGAATCTGTTTACAAACGAAACATAGCCCAAAACAAACACTGATTACTTTGAACAAGGTTAAATGTATATTTTTCTTTCTACAAACTTTTTCTTCGGTTCCTTCCATATTCTACCAGACTTCGGTTTGCCTTTGGGAATTTGTTGCTCCAATGACTTCTCTTTCTTAACTCTTAGTCTAGTGGACGCACGATTGGAAATGCTTGGGATATTTGTTTCTACAGCATCTGATTTCTCATTTAGTATTTCTTCTGCTGTAATTACCTTTTCCTCCGTTGTCATTTTCTTATGAGTGATTTTTACTTCGGTAATACTATAAACAAACACTGTCTTATTGTATACAAATAATCAAAATAGGTTATGGATTACGCGTGTATACAGCCATTTTGAAAATTAATAAAATTTACCGTAGTGACATCTATTAACAAAAGCTGGAAACTTCTAGCCAAACTCAATTGATAACTACTTTTCTACTTAAATAGTATATTTAATTATTTTTTTAATTAGATATAGTTATATTTTAGCTATTCTTCTTTAATGCTATTCGTTCAAAGTAAATTTTGTAAATATTTCTTTGAATATCTTTAAATTTATTTACTACCTGTAGATAAATGTGTTGTCCTGTTTGCCCCTTTTGCTGTTAGATGTCACTGTAATCGATTTATACACTTATGTTATTATTCTACAATTTTTTATTGCGAGCAGTTATTTAATTATAATGGAATCGCTTCAAGAAATATGTCAATACTTAAAGCCAAATATACGACTAGATCTAAAAACTATTGCATTAGAACATGTTCTCAGTAAGTACTCGTAATCAAAGGATATTTTATAACCTCAAGCTTGTTTTTAACCTCCTATATTTATTAATTTTTATATTTATTGAATAATCAGGTATAACTGGAACTACCGAAGGACGAGAACTACTATTAAAGCTTCCAGATTTATTAACGCAACTAATTGCTTTGATTCAAGATTCTTCTACTGCAATTTCCAAAGATGCAGCACTAGCTATAATAAATATAACTGCAGACGAAGGAGGAAGCAACGCATTTCTGTTAATTTCAGAAACTGAACCAAAAGATGGAAAATATAATTATAATTTAATTCATGTTTGTATTAGGTAGACATGTTATTAATTAATCTAATTTATATCTTTCTGCTTCTTTTAAATTATTGTTTTTTATATAGGTTTATAATGGATAAAGAATGTATTTTAGCAGACCCATGCTGCATGATACTTTCTAATATGACCAGACCATTACATTTGGTGGATAGAATCATAACACTTATTGAAAAAAGTGGTTATTCGTGGGACAAAATTGTGGCGGCATTCACTGCTAAACAGTATAATAATACTGGAGCCAAACTTCACTATTTAGGTCCAGTTTTTAGTAACCTCAGTCAATCTTCACATGTAAGGAGGTAGGGTAATCAATTATTGTTTTCAATTTAGATATTGTCATCAATTTATATTCTCTTTCAAATTTATCATACAATATAGGTATTTAATGGACAAAAATCGTAGTGTCATTCAGAGGCTACTCCCTTTCACAGAATATGAAGATAGCTTAGTAAGACGTGGTGGAATTGTTGGTACATTAAAGAACTGTTGTTTTGATGTAGAAAATCATGAATGGTTATTGAGCCCTGAAGTAGATATTTTATCATATCTTTTGTTGCCATTGGCAGGGCCAGAAGAGTTTGATGATGAGGACAATGATAAACTGCCAATTAGTTTACAGTATTTGCCAGAGACAAAGCAAAGGGAGCCAGACTTAGATATTAGGTACACAAATATTTTTGAAATATCAACAATAGTTTCAAATAAAGATTCTTACCTTTTAATTGTTTTAGAATCATTTTGTTAGAGGCCTTAACTCAACTATGCGCGACGAGGAAAGGAAGAGAAATACTGAGAACAAAAAATACTTACGTAATACTCAGGGAATATCATAAATGGGAGCAAGATAAAACTGCATTGTTATCTTGCGAAAATGTTGTTGATATTTTGATTAGGTACTAAATATTATTAAATACTGCAAAATAATATTAAGCACTAGTTAATTAGAGTAAATGGTTTTATTTTCGTTAAATTTTTATATTTCATGGTGCTATTTGTAACAAATGTTGTGAAAATTTTAGGACTGAAGAAGAAATAGGTTTGGACAACTTAAAAAATGTAGAAATTCCCATAGAGTATACAGAGAAATTCCATAAGATGGATCAAGATTTTATTAATAGTACATGATGAACTATTGGTACAATAATAGGAGCTGTTTTATTGTTTTATACATATTGCACAAGCTGTACATATTATAATAGAATGACAATTTACCTCAGCGAAAAACGAGGCTGCGCGTGATATTGCACTGTTCCCTTGTTTCGTTTGTTATCCTATTTTTAATTAAATTATCAGGTCCTGTGTAGCAACAGAGGAATGATAAAAATCCATACAAATATAGAGTCAATCACATTCAACTAAGATCTTATTTAAAACAAAATTACTATACTAAATTTGATTAGTTGTTATTGCCAATTTTTCCCACACAGGAATAAAATTACTTTAGAAAATAATAGAAGAATTTTTCATCTCAATAGGTCTACTTGAATCTGTGAATGATTATTAAAAATACATAATTGAAAGAAAGAAAGATTTACAAGTGGTAATACAGGTACTTGTAATTTATTCGTATGCACGTTACCGGAATAACGGGTTAAACATTTTTCTTTCTTCCCTTTTCATTCTTATGATATCTCTGGTGCGAACAGTAAATCGGTAATTTTAGCTTGCTCGGCTCAGAGCCACTTTTGCTGAGATCAAGTCTCGCAGAAATGAGAATATGGTACCGTTATGAGAAAGACTGGTACATTTCTAACACATTTCTGCAAACCATGTAAATGACAGTACCGTTATTAATTAATAGCCATACACACGATGTATATCGATACATTGCGTTGGTGCACTTACTTCTATGGTCGATTTTTCGTGTCAATTAACTTCGATCAAACGTGAGCGTAACATTTTTTTTCTAGTAGAATAAATTCTTTAACAATAGAAATAGAAACTGTACTATAATTAAATTAGCGTTTACATCTTCGTAAAAAATAGTTCATCTTTTATGTGTTTCTTAAACGTTTACGCTAAAGTTAAATATTCTACAGTATTTACACCTCTCTACTAATTGATGTTGTTTCTTAGATACAAAAATAACTTCTTTTATATAGATGTATAACACTACAAAATCTGATCAAAAATTCTTCCTTTCAAATTACGAATTTTTGTATATATTTCTGGAGCTTTTTGACCTTATTTTTTAATCACAGTTACATAACATTATTACTCAAAAATTTAACTTATTCGATTCATCCTACAAAAATATATAAATCTTTACAATTTCCTGATCAGATTAAGTAAAAACAGTCATCATTAAAGAGAAAGTGACCATCACGGTAAATATCCTAAACCAGCTTCCAGACTGATAGAACTCTTGATGCTGGAGGCATTACTGGCTCTCCTACTGATCCTGTTTGAGTCAGCTCCGAAGATGGCTGCAATCTCTGCACTTTTCTTAATTGAGAGAGCTTCGTGATGAGCTCCAGATCGATTGGAACAGTGGGAAAGACATTTCTTGTCCCTTTCTGCGCCACCGACGTATACCAAACGGCCCTGTGTGTCTCTGGCACTAACAACTAGCACCTTTTCACTGTCCGAGGACTGCTGAGACTTTCGTCCTGGATTGAACAAGTCGTAATCCAGGGCGAGGTTGTTCGAACTGCCGTAGCTTGACGACGACTGCTTCTGAAAATGTATAAAAAGAAATAAAATCGAAAGGATACCAAGGAAAATCTATACGTCATCTGTAATTATTCAAAAAAATTATACCAAAATTCCCTACAATTTAGATACAATTATTTCTTTTTTCTTTTTCACCTTGAGTACATCCAAACCTTGGGAGGGCGTTCGACTTCTGCCGGTCTTCGTCGCTCGAGCTCTGTCCGGACTTCCGGCTCGGCTGAGGGTGCTCTCAGAGGGCACGATGCCCCTCTGCCTCAACTGCTCCAATATGGTTGGTCGGATCGGCTGTCGGGCACAGTAACATTTATTGCTTTCAGAGCAGCTGTCGGTGTCACAGGCGCATACCACTGTATTCGGAGGCACATGGGGCTGTGCTGGCACTCTCCTGGACAGCGAGCAGTAACACTTATCCGCCGATATGCAGGTACAGGACTCGGAATCGTAGCTGCATTCGCTGCAACTCACATAGCCGCTGCTGCTTCTGTTCGCGGCAGCGCCTGCGCTTCGATTTAGTCTCCTACCTGAAAAATATTAGTATATTTTGTTTTATAAAATTCAAGAATTTCAGGTGCATTACTTTTGCTACGTTCTACAACCTGAAATATCAAAATATTCGCTTACACGTATCACTGTCCTCGGAAGTAGTATGACAGCCTCCGTTTTTACTAGTCCTCCATGAAGACTTCCTTTTTCCCAGTCTGTTAGCCAATACACGGTTCCCGTGATTGTTTCTGGCGTCGCAAGAAGAACTACTACCGAAACTATCGTTTAGTCTCCTCGCAGGAAAGATAACGGAAGTGAATTCCGTCGGGCCACCCTTCAGCCTCGACACCGACCTCTTAATAGCCCTGCCCAATAGGCAGGTTCGACGACTCGATCGTCTTCGCTGCGGCCTGCGGCGCCTCCTCATTATGCTGGCTGACCTCTGGTATAGTTCATCCTGCGTCAACGTCGCCGCCAATTTCAACAAGAACTCTTTGTACAGGGGTTTCAAGTCGTTAAAGGACATTCCTTCAGGATCTAAATGTGAAATATAAAGTTATGATTAATCGTGGATTTTCAATTTCTCGAAATAATACTTACCGATAATAGCTGCCAAGATATCATCGACACTGGTCAGACCTTCTTGGTTTCTGAACTCGTCAAACAATTCCGTGAATCCTAGAGGAGTACCACCTTTGATGCTGTTAGGCCTCCTAGCACTGCCAGGGTTTAAAAAACTTCCTCTTCGAGGTAACTCGACCCTTGTCATCAAATCTCCTCGATCAACGTCTACGTCGCTTTGAGATCTCTTTAATCTGGTTTCCTGAAGAATTTTCATCGCATCCTCGGACCTACTAACAGGTGGTTCGCTGCCAGCCCTACTCCTCTTCCTAACTCTAGGCTGATTGTACTCTGGCATGTCCAAATTCGACGTGGAATCGCTCAAGTGTTTCTTCAGGGGCTTGTCCATGGTAACTACTCTACTCACTCGTCTTCCAGACGTAGCTTTTTCTTGGTCCTTCGACCTTTTTCGTTCCGCGTATATTAAATCTCCACGAGTCTGCTGATTTAGTTGATAAAGATCACTGTTACAAGATCTACCGAAGAAAATATCCTCTTGGGAACTTCTTATCTTTTCTCTTTCTAGTTTACTGCTTCTACCGCTGTAAATATCCTCCTGAGCAAGACTGTATATCTTATCCACGTCTTTAAAATGTTCTTCATAGAGCGTCTCCTTGCTACCTCTCTTACAGGCTCGTTCATACAGTGAGTTTTCTTCGCTCTTACAACCTAACTTCTCGATCCTGTCGTAGATCAAAACATCTGGTCTTGGTGTGTGTACGCCGAGACTCTTGGGCGTATCCCTTGAAGAATTCAAATCATAAGATCCATGATTCTTCTCGTAAATTTTCTCCTTAACATCTTCTGGTTCCTTAATCGGACTCTGTTTCCCTGGACCTTCGCATTTTTCCATTTTTCCAATCACAGGGAGCTTCTCGTATCTATTAGAAACTGTCTCATAAAACCCGTTAATCCCAAGTTCATAAATCTTGTTCTCAGATTTCCCTATTTCAATTTTCTCAGGAGTAGTCGATTCTTTTTTACTTCCAAACGTCTTGTTTTTCGAGTTCTGTCGTTCCTCCTTCTTGGATACCCTCGAATCGAAATTCTTCTGGATAGAACTAAAACTTTGAACAACAGGACTGACTTTTTCCTTCGAGGTAACTTCTTTTCTCCTCCCTCGAGCCTCCAAAATATCTTCCGCCTTGATATCGGAATTCTTTTTCTTCCTCCTGGGTGTCTTTTGTAACTCTAATGATTTCCCAGTTTCATCTTCGGTTATACAGCTAGAAACTGAAGTTTTCTTCGTTCGTGGAGGCCTAACAGGATGCGGTGGATTCGATTTAACAGCTTCTGCTTTCAGGACGTTCATCATGGTGCTGATTCGGCTACTTGGACTGGGTTCCCTAACACTGGAGGCAACTGAAGCTAGACTTACACAACCGACGCCGTTCGTGTGCCTTGGACGACGCCGATTCGCATCCAGATCAGCCAAAAGTGCCCTGTAGAGAGTTGCTGCAGCAGCTACTGCATCCTCTTCCGTATCGCAGGAAAATGCGTGGCATTCTAGCAACCTGGTGGCACCTGGTCGTCGCATTACTACCGCGAATATGGGTGGATAATGTTCCGCCGTTGTCTTCAAGCCACGCATCGTTCTAGAAATGATTAATCTTGTTGTGAGTACTTATTTATTTATTTTTCTCTTTGAAGGAAGATTCAATTTTTGTTGATGTTAAAAATTAATTAGCATGATAAAGTGCACATCATTTTTAGGGAATCATAACGAAGCTGGACTACCCAGAGGCTTTGAGTAATGAATTGAGAATATAAGGCAAGTGTACAACTATAAAAAACCCAATCCTTTTTAAATTTTCAAGTGATTTATCCAATAACCCTATCTCTCAAAGAGATTTCACGGATCTGCTCAAAACAAACGATCAAAACGCTGCGAGATCATCCTTCTAATCCAAGTCTGAACAAAATTAATTACCGCTCCGTTAATTTCTCTTCGCGGCACTTTCCAGCGTAATACCCACCTGTATAGGTCCGCGTGCTTTTCCTCGCCTGTCTGACTCTGGTCATGATCGCCGACCAACGGTAAGAAAGCGTGATGCAGTTCTCCTAATGGCATACGTTTACTTCGAAGCCTCAACGCGCTCCACACAGCGATCCTACGGAAGGGATTGTTCTTCTCGGAGGTGTCTGCCGTGCGGAAGGTCAGTCCCCGTCTAGAAACTTCGAGTTCTGCCCTCGTGGCGCACTCGATTCTCTCCAGGAGCTGACGTAGAGGCTCCTGAAGACCTCGGACGCTCGCCACGCGACCACCTACAGGAGCTGCCCCCATATACTTCACCTGAAATAATTAATTCGAATTATTTCTTTCCCTCTACCTCTTTCTCTTTTAAGAAGAATAAAGACCAAAGAGTCATAGATTTGTAGTTTTGGAAGATATGTTTTCACTTTCACATTTTGGATAATGATTTAAAGTCTTTCAAGCACAGACTTTCAAACCAGAAGAGAGCGTATTCTCTGAAAATAATATTATAATTAATTGAATTATAAAAAAAATAGAGAAGATAGAGAAACAACTAATTACCACGTGACCATCATAATCAAGCCGATATCTCTAGAGTGAAAAAGATAATGGCTTTATTAGAAAGACAGCAAGGCATTTGCCGTAAACGGCGGGATAATGAAAGTTGATCAAGATGCAAATACAGTGTAAATTATGTAGATTAACCGATGGCCATTATCAAGAATTTTCATCGGTCACGACAACCAACTATAGAACCGTTCTAAAAGCCGCTTCATGATGCGTGCAATTGTCTCAAGTATCTTCATGACGAGCGAAACGAAAAAGTCATTTGCCACGGTTCTGAAAATAAATAAGGATAACTTTGAGAAGTACCGAGAAAATTTGTTGGAAGAATGTTAAAACGCGCCATTCTGGCAGAGTGCCATTCTGATAAGCCTACGAGTTCCCGGTATCTTTCGGAGAAATGGTTTTTATTCCTACAGGATGGAAAGCTCGATGGCTTTTAACGAAGAGCGCTATTTAACATCGTACATACATATATGGTAATCGTGATAGTGGAAAGATAAATTTTTACTTCGCACTGGGAGAAGCAACATGACACATTTTTTCGCCGCTTTTACAAACATGGCTCGTAATCGCCTGACGTAATGGCGAGACTGGTTTGCATATTGGGACACACGTTTACTGGCGATCAACGTATAATCGATATGGTAATTCGTTGGATTCGGAAATCAACTGATAAAAAAATTATAATTGACATGACTTGACAGTTTTGTAACTGATTAAATTAACGCACAGGTATATAAACCCTCGTGCTATCTACGATAAATTAAAAAAGAAGTGTTCTTAAAATAATCAAAAATAACATAATAACCTAATTTAAAAAATGAAAGGTATAATAATAATCTGCTTGAAAAAGATATTTAATTTATATTTAAATTAATGAAAATCGATTTTCAATTAATTTAAATCAATTTTCCAGGATCCCGATCAACATTGAATTATACGCAGTACGTGCTACGCTCTTAGTTAGAATTGATCGTGGCTAGAGACTTCCCCCACCATCAGCTGCGTCGTCCTGTTCAAATTCCCTGCGCAAATATCAGTCGTGCGCCGAACCTTCGACCGTGTGTGAATCGAGCGAGTTATATGTCCTATCCCTCTTACTAATTCCCCACAAACCCACTTCTCCAATTTCCTTATCGTCTCCTCTCGCTTACAGGACACGCCGAGTTTCTTAAAAGGTGAGATTTATAGGCACAAACTCACTGAACAAGAATGAACAGAACGTTACCGAGAGAAGTAATAAATTCAAAATCTGGAAGAAATTCTGCTCCGGGTTTCAAGATCATATCTCTCGTGGATCGCGACGAGGCAATGATCTGAGGCTGCTGTTGACCTCGGCGAGGCATCATCGCTGGATGGCGCAACGGAACGATGCGGAAGAGGGAGGCCATAAAAGCGGAGCAATAAGAAAAATCCGCATACCGATCCGCGGCAACGAAGGGGAATTTTTCATTGCTCCAAATAGTCGGGAGCCAGCCCCGTCACGCTTCGCGAATCGTGAACGGAATGAAAGTGACGATTAAAAATCACTGGGACCACCGTCGACCGAGGAAAGTCGTGCTCTTTGTCTTTGGATAGAATTCGCAATACTCGTTAATATCTTTTTCTTATTTTTGGTAAAAGACGAGACGTAATTACCTAATGAATTTTTTGCAGTATTTGGTGGATTTTCAATTTTTTTAAAATATCTAAGTAATTGAATAGAATTTTTACAGAGAATTTGGCCAATTAAATGGAACAAGCGTCCTTAGAAATTAATTTATTCGAGATTCATCTTAGACATTTCTACCTGTTTGTGACAAAAATTTGTGGGTACTGAGAGAAAAATTATTCTTAAAAGCGAAAATTATAAAACGATCATTCTTAGATTTCTCAGATAATGGAAATAATAATACTCGTATGATTTCATATAGAAAGTGCGTTTCGGTGTTCCTTTATCCGAATGAAAGTATGTAAACGTTTTCAATTTCTTCTGTAGTCATTATACATATAGTAGAAAATATTTTTACTCTAATTAATTTATCGAAGTTTCTGATAAATTTTTATTAATTAATAGAACGAAGGAAATTTTGTATCAATTTTTGTATCGATATTTTTGAATTCTGTATAGATTTTTCCTGTAGGAAAATGGATTTGGAAAAGATTTTGACACGAGCCTGCGAAATACAAGTCGAAATCTGACAGAAGCTATCTCTATTGTACTGAGCTTCCTTCCACCACATTTTCCATCGCTCCTTAGACATCAGGAAGGATATTCGCCTCTTTCTCGATGAAACCTGCGCTCGACCGTGTCGTATAATTAGTAGTACGCAATATTAAGTGTTACAACGTTCTTAATCTCTGCCGACACGTTTCGTTCTACTCTCATTCGGCCAAATATTATTTGATACCCGCCTCTCTGAATCATCAAATAATACAAATATCTAATTTAACCTTGACTAAGTATATTCCAAAAATAAGCCTAATGATTATCCATTTAAATCTATATCTAGCTAAGGGAAGATAGGCACCTCGAAAAATTCTCATAAATCCCGTTATTCTTCATCTTTAAAGATCTTTAATCTGCCTTCGTCTTCGAGCAAGCAGTTCATCGGACCAATTATACATCGATCTAAATATTATTTCCATTTGAGGTTGCCTCTAATAAACTTCTTAATTTTTGTACCTGAAAGAATTTAGAGCAGTCGGACTAATTGAGACATCTAGTAGAATTTTATCCAATGAATTTACATCCAAACCTTGATTTAACAAGCTCAGACAAGATTTGAGCAATATGATGTCTCGTCATTTCTTATTCAACTATCTTGTTGCTGCCTTTTCTTCAGATGAAATTAGATTAAATTAAAGAGACTAAGCTCTATTCGTTAGATGTCCATAAATGTCAGACATTTTCATAGTTGAGTATGAAATACGCGATCAGTGCATGCTCGAAGGTAATTTTCAGTTGCGAAGTAGGTGAATCCATGGACAAGGCGCGAACAGCTGTGAACTCGTCTCGAGAGTGGAACGAATGGCCGTTCCTCGAGATTTTTCTAAGTACGGGGGAAGAGAGGCGTATAGACGCAGCCGTACGATCAAATTAACATAAGTGAAAATCTTCTTTTTCATCGTGATCCCGTCTAATTGCAGTGAAATCTTTATTGCACGGATCTGCGCTGCGTGGAGCACTGCGACACATGATTCCGTGGGGATCAATTTCATTCTAAGGACTCAAGAATTGCCTTTCTTCGCGGACGAGAATGAGGGAAGGGATTCGAACGTGGCATTCTCAGAAAATTTTGCCAGATAGCTTGTCAATGGCAGATAGATCTCCTAATGTCATCTGAAAAGCCAATTATATTAGATAATCCCTAAATGTGAGATTCTAGGCCAGAATCTCTAATTCTATTTTAAAAAGAAAAGACTCCTATGCTAACTCTTTATACTGATTAAAACTACAATTGCAAGTCTTAGAAGGAAAAGTTCATTACATACTGTTATATGTACACTTTCAGGATTGATGTACATGATCGATGTTACCCATGACAAGCAATGGCGTTACCTATCAAGTCCGTGAGAGTAGAGCGAAGTGGTCGCTGGCATGAAAACGAGGAAGAAGCATAGACGAAAGTAATCGATATATTCACCGGTAAAATCGCGGCGGCGCAGTCCCCGGGTGTTCCGCTTTCAGCCTCCACGGAGGCGAACATCGCCTCAATCCGCGCCTGCACGGCACTGTTCACCCTTCTCTGCTCGTCCGCCCCGATGTCCTCCAGATGGTTCGAGTTCATGGTGGACACTCCTCCGTACCAGCCGCCAATGTTGGACCCGTAAATCGACCTAAATTGGTAAGTTTTAATATTTAGTGATCTTGCAAAAATAGTAAGTTTTATAAAATTACAGGAAAAATGTTAAATCCTGTGTGAATTTGATATAGTAACTTTTTTATTGGCAAGTATTATTTGTAAAATGTATTAGAATGATTAGAAACTGCCAGAAATTTAATAATACTTGATATTTTAAATGGTGATCTATAGTAATAGCCGTTTTTAGTAAGTAGCATCACGTATCTAGGGGATTTCGTAATTTTTTCAAAGTACAGCTTAATTTCAAATATAATTGAAGTAAAATTGAATAAATTAAACAAATAGCGTTAAATTTTCACCTCGAGTCCTCGAAAAGGGCATCGATACGAGCCTTGCTCCTAAGTGAGCATTCCGATGCGGGACCAGCCAAGCGGAAGCCATCCCCGTAACAGGACATTCCCACGCAGGACATCTTCAGATCGATTTAAATTAAAACAGAGATCCAATGTATCTCTTGCAAGCTCCCTAGAGCTTCTCTCTTCGTCGTATTTCCACTAATCGACGTCATTCGTTCTGAAACAATCCAACCACAATCCCCCGTGAAAAACCTAACCTCAATCACAACTGGAAAACACAGTCTCCTTTCACAACTACACACGGTCGAATCTATCTATCAACTACACCACTGAAACGATAATTTTTACATTAAACAATTACCATATTGGTAAAAAAAAAATAGAAAGAGATATTTGGACACTAGTATGATACCTAGGGAGGCGAGAAGCGTTGCCCGGTGGTCGCGGTGCAAGAAAAAAATGTCGGTAAACGCATGAGCGCTCAGTAAAAAGTTTACAAAGATACGGGCCGTTGAAAAAATCCAATGGATCTGTGGGAGGGGGCTTCGATCGGGGAGATCTCGCCAGGATCTCACCTCGTTTCCACGGACCCTTGCCGATGCTCCGCAGCCTGCGTTAAATTTATGCGAGAACACGCCACGTCGGACAGGCCGGCAATTAAAACTGTAATTGCAGACAAGATTGGATAAGGAATACTCGATCAACGGACCCCGTTTCGAAGCTGGGTTCGAGTAAAAGTGACGGCCTCTCGTAATTTCACCCTTCGAAGCGGTGTTTCCAGCCAAGGTCGTCGATTGTATTCTCGTGAAATGCGTGGGTTGAAACATCTTGGAACAGAGGTTCGTTTACGGTCGTTTCTAACAAAGATTCGTCTTCTAAGGAGCTTCGGTTCTTGTATTCCTCGATAGGTTTGCAGAAAGTCTGATAATACAGGGCTCAGTAATATTATTATCATTTCTATAAACATATAACGAGCTTTGACATCCGATAAACATTCTAATACGCCATTACTATGCTAGTTTAGATCGATTTCCCTCTACCGGCCGTAAAGCGTAACTGGAACGTCTTTACCATTGTTGCATCAGCGAATTCCAAGGGAATTTTCACACTCGTGGCGCCGTCACTGTTCCACAAGTTCGTCAGTCATACGAAACCTGCTCTCGATAAAGGAGGGAGGAATTGCGTTTCGCGAAAGAGCGCAGGTCGTATTGTTTACCATGGTAGAAATCGCACGTATACGGCACTCGATACCCGCTCGAGCAGAATTATCGCGTGCATACCATCGACGTGAGCGCCGCTCGATTTTCACCAACGATGCGCGCGACTCCATGCATTTCTTTTAACGCCACCAATCCGGACGATTTCGCAATGTAAGCCCTCTATGATTTTTTGGTGGATTTATAATATTTTTGATAACGCAGTGTCTCGCAGAGTATTATTTTATTATTAAAAATATGAAATCGGGATAAATAAACACTGCAAATTAAATTATCATTTTGTACTAGTGACGCTGTACAATGTATATTTCTGATAATAAAGTGTAGAATAGAGGTATGAAATTTAATATACTTTTAAACGTTATATATTTAATTATGCAATACATAGTTTGTCGTATCTGAATATGATCGTGAACATCGGTAGGAATGTAAAGCTTGGACTAAAAATCGCATAGTGTCGCTAGTGTGCAACTGCAGTGATGCGACATCGGATAGCTCATCTGCATTGCGTCATTATGAATATGAACCTATCAAAATTGGCTAGTGAACACCGGGCATTATATTCCTAATAGTCAGATCGTACGTTCGTGAATGTTGCATCACTGGCAATATAGACCTGCCAAATCGGATAGTTTTAGTATCACCGGTAATAAACAGCTTTATACTGAATTTAAATAGGAAACATCGACTCGCCAACTGAATTACATAGAAAATGTTTTCACGGTAAATGGTTTTCTACTCGTAGAATAGTTTTTAAACACGTTTGAGTTGGAATGTTTGAAAGGTGTGTAAGAAAACGAAAGTAATTTCGATGCTTCCTACATCTTTGACTATCTCCAATTAAGTGCAGGCTAGATGTTTATGGAAATTGTGTAAAACTTTTTTAAGAAGAGCGTTATATTTAATCAAGCTTTGTGATTCTATTGGACACTCAAGAGCCTCCTGAAAATATTCTGCCAACATATCAAAACGAAATATCACGTGGTTTAACGATTATCGTCTTCGCATATCGCCATTTTGAATTTTGCAAATTTGAAACGTTGAACACCAATCATGTATTGTGGCAGTGTTTTTGAAATTAGATGATTTTCGAAAGGTGGGATTGATCTTTTTAAACATCGAATATCTCAGATAAAACCAGTTCGATCAACGTCGGTATTTCTAATAATTAACGCTATTCTTCCAAACCTGTAAATACCTATCGAACGCGGAACGAATAAAAATGTCACGTGTTCAGCTTATACACATACCACCGTTCTTTCGTGTATTAGGCCGTGTTAGAATTTGTTGAAAGTAGATTAAGGCAGCTAGAATTTATATCCATTAGTGATTATAATTTTTAATTCGACATGGAATTCCGCTGGAAAACGAAACAGCGTGAAACCTTTTACAGTTAGTCGAATCGAGGGACTTTTCTGAAGGCGTCTGTCTTCTCAGCCTGCGTATTATGGAGAATAACTGTGGTTGGTGTGAACACATAAACGAGACCCACCTGTTCACGTGTTCACCGTTGCACACCGAGTTCGAGACGAAATTGATCATCGAAAAGTGGTTTGCTGATCCTGCCGGCTAATTATGGTAACGGGAACTAATCGATTTCGTGAAGACCGTGGTTCCATTTTCAATGGAGTCTTCGTTGGAACCGTATTTGTCTCAAAGAGAGATCTAGTGCTTCAGGTTCAGTAATGGATCTCTGTCAGGATTTGGGGTAAGTCGAATTTGTTCTAAAATTACTTTAAAAATTTGTATTTTATTTATTATATTATTGGTCGGAGTTTAAAATTTCCAAAGTTTCGAATATTGGAACCTTAACAATTTTTAAAGCTCGTTGAACTCACATTTGAGATCATTAGCCTCGAATCAAATAAAAATGTTGCTTCGCACTGATTTTAAAACCCGAATAAAGCCTAGTGTGAAATGAGCACGGACCATGTTTGCTTGACGAGATTTAATCGGAACGAAGATGGAAATGCCTGACTAATCAGTCTGAAATTCGAACAAACAGTGACTGTGAATTCAATCCGATTTTGAAGAGCACAGTTATCCCGTAAATGCCTGAGGAACGTACACTTAATGATCATCATCCATGCCAGGTGAAAAATTAAACGCAGACCTTAATTGTCCATTTAATGAAGCATTCAACTAAATTTCATTTTTTAAACGCAGCTCAAACAAAGGAATGGATCATAAAACTGAACGAAACCTGTTCCTCGTCTTCACGAGACGTTAACTTTAAGACCAGACCTTCTCAGTTAAACCTAGTCCAAAAAAAATCTGTAGAGGATACCTTTCAAATTCTCGTCGTTGTTATCAATATCTAAAATCAGCAGATTCACCAACGCCAAGAATCAATTCATCGATTCATCCAAGTCATTTACATCCCCATTCAAAATTTTCGCCAACAATTCAAGACAATTTATTCTCTTCTTCAGCCATTAATTTTCCCCTAATTGCAAGATAAACCCCAGCTGTCGGGCATTTAGAAGACTATCAGCATTATGGAAGACGAAGGATCCTCGTTGGCGCGGCCTCCACGCCGAAGGCAACGGTATTAAGGTCGACAAACAGATTACAGCATCACGTGTCGACGAATCGCGTGGAGAAGCTACGTACGCGGCCGGATTTAAAGCATGTGGATCGTTCAACTTACAATTACCAAGTTCACGGCTCGTTTGCCGGCCGCGTTCAGCCTGATGGAAATCGAATAGACGAACGGAAGCGTGCGGACGCACGAATCTCAGCTCGCGTGCGGGGGAAAATCGTGTCGAGATGGGCATTTCGCGGTGAAAATGTCGATCGAGATAAATAGTCGGATAAATCGGGGAAACTGGAAGCAGAAGAAAGTAGAGTTTAAATGGAATGCCAACTCTTGCTTGCAGATGAGCAATTATTGGGGGCATCGTGGGGGTAAAACTAGGCGTAGTTTTCAAAGGTTTTAAAGTTTTCTTTGTTCGTTAAGACATGCTTCGAAGCACCCATGAGATGTAATTTTCAGTACAGTGAAACGCACTCATTAATTCCTGGTAATATTAACAGAATAGAGTTTTTATTTTTATCAAGTGGGGGTAAAACGAAGTTAGATACCTTGTACGATTTCCACGAAGCAAAGATATTAGCGATATTACTAAATCAGGATATCTTCCACAAATCCACTGCACACGTCTTAAAATTCCATTCGCTTACTTTCCAATTCTCCTGGAGTTCAATGTTCCCGAAAAATCTTCAGTCCCCCAAATAGCAGTTTCCCGAAGCTTCTCTAAAATAACACCGGCGTATCACCGCCATGAATCACACCATAGTAGAGATCACTGTTCGTTGGTTCACGGTTCTCCAGATTCCTCCATCTTCGTTATCAAAATCCACGATCCTTTTCAGAACAGGGGCCAAACCTCGGAACACCTGTGCGATACCAAATCTTGCTTTCACAAATATCGTCGTTCGAATGTTTTATCAAAAATCCTTGCCCCTCTGACGTCCACTGGCGGACACACGAAGAGAACGTTACCGTTGATGATCGACCTTGGCCGCGAGTCGATCCGGATGACCGTCGACGTGAAACTGCCGGGGATGTTCCGCAGGAGAGACTCGAGTTCTCTAGCCAGTGAGTCGGCTCCTCCACGCTGGAACGAGGAGGAGGAGGAGGAGGAGGACGAGGAGGAGGATGAGCAGGAGGAGCAGGAGGATGAAGATCGACGGAGAGAGCCTTTCTGCGGCTCTCCTCAACAGTTCCACGGGAAGGGTGAACGTCTGGCCGCGACTTTTTACCGGAAATCTCGTGTCGCGTCTCGCCGCTGACACGTACACATTATTGTGATTAATTGGCCTGCTATTGGCTCATGTTTTCAACGGATCTGGCTTTGACTTATTGGGTAAGGGATAACAGGGAAAGGGTGCAAAGTGTAATTTGGATTCTTAGTGAAAATTCGGCTTTTACATTTC